CGCTTTTGCACTCATGTCCACAAATGCGCAATGCAATGTGTGTTCTAGTTCTCATCCTGCTGAAGCATGTCCCATCTATTCTACCTCTGAACCTTCAGATGCTTAAGTGTGTGCCTTTAATACTTATAGGAGACCGACGGCTAATACCTTTAGCCAAACTTACCATCCTGATACTAGAAACCATCTTAATTTTTCTTGGCGACAGAATTTGCCTCCCCAAAACTTAGGTGGTCAACCCAGTTTCCAAGGTAATTCTGATAGGCCACCTTAATCTCAAGGTTTGCCTGTTCCTTTAAGTCAGTTCCCAATGAACACCCAGTTTAGTAACAATCGTGATCTCGCATATGATCCCATGAGTAATTATGTTCCTCCTGTCCCACAGAACCAACATGTTTCCAACTATGAGGACACACTAAAGATGCTTGCCCTTAATATCGACCAATCAAATAAGTACTCTAATCAGAGAATTCAAAAGCTAGAAAGTCACTTTGACCTTTTGACTCAGAACCAACTGCAATTCCAACAGTCCATGCAAAATTAGTTGAGTCAACTCACTTCAGTTTTGTCTGAATGACAAAGAGGTACCTTGCCTAGCCAACCTGAAATCAATCCTCAAGCCAAAGGGTTTATCACATTGAAACTTCCTCTTCCACTGACCAATCAAATGGCCATGTGAATTCCATCATCACACTTAGGTTAGGGAAACAAATTGATAATAAAATTGAGCTACCCACCCAACATGAACCTGAGCCATTAGAGTCTCGTCCATCAAACCCTCCAACAGCCAAAAAGGACCAAGATTCTCAAATTGATAATCCTACCCTTCCGTTATATGTTCCACCTGCACCTTTCCCTTCCCGACTGGTTAACAATAAAAAGGATTCGCAATATAGTGAGATCTCAGAAATTTTTCAAAATCTTCAGATTAATATTCCATTTCTCACCGCTATTAAGCAAATTCCTTTTTATGCAAAGTTCATGAAAGACTTAGTTAAGAGGAAAACCAATATCCCGAAGGAAGCCTTCATAGCCCAACATTGTTCCTCAATCCTACAAAACCAAGCTGTGGTCAAACATAAAAACCCTGGTAGTCATGCTCTTCACCTGCAGGTCGGTAACATGGAGGGAAATCTTACGAATTTTCATAAGGAAATAAGAAAAGGACAACAACTTTTGTAGGCTATGATGCAGCCACTTATTAATCGTGGTGGTGCCGCTCAGAGTCCATCTCCTTCCACCTTTATGTAGGATTGGGCATTGTGTTGCTCTTTAGTCTTATTTAGTTCATACTATTTACTTCTGTTTTTTGTGCTTTGAATAATTTTAGGATTTGGGCCATGTTTGGCATGACAATTGTGGGTGAACTTTTTGATGTGCACATATTTTGGTTTTTTTTTTTTTTTTTTTTTTTTTTTTTTTTTTTTTTTTTCCAAATTTTGAATAAAGCATGACTCAGTACTTCATATTTATATCTTTATATATATCTATGCTTTTATGCTTGGTGTATAGTTTTTGTGAATAGCTTATCAAGTCCAAGTTTGGGGGAAGAAATTTCATTTTTTCACTACAACTGGGTGCACTGAAGTTACTGTTTCGCACTCAGTAGTTTCTCTCATTTTACATCTCTTGGCATGCTTAATTTCTATACATGTTTTCATACATTGAGGATAATGTATCATTCAAGTTTAGGGGTGTTGAGAGTTAGCTATTCACAGGCAGATTGTCATTATTGAATATGGTTGAATTGTTTATAGTTGAATTGATTTGTTAAAAAAAAAAAGAAGAAAAAAAGAAGAAGAAAATTGTATATTTAGGCAAATGATTTTTGGCATTGTTCGAACTAAGTTTGGGGGGGGGGGGGGGGATTTATGTGATTAATATAGCTTGTATGCTTGTATAGGATATCAAGGAATGATTGAAAGTTGTCAGCATGATTGTTCAAAATAAAAAAGGTCCATTGTATGATTTAAATGTTTTATTTTGGAGTCTTTCATTTCTAAGTGACTTCACAATGCACATTGAGCACACCGAAAATTGCATTCCCTTCCTTATGGTTTTATTTAATTGACTCCTTGAATTGGTAGGTTGGATGAATGAAATAATCCTTGGCATATTTTTATAAAAAACAATAAATAAAATAATAATAAGTAAATAAATAAATAAAACTGCATTCTTTCAACATATCAACTAATTAAAAAGGAAGATAAGGAAAGAATGTAAGATGTATGATTAGTTTGAGTTTGTAGCCTAGCCATTCCGAGGTATTACGCCCTTAGGAGTGTCTTTACACTTAACGCCCTAAAACCATCTGGTTTGGGAGTCGTTGGCTCAACGCTTGTTAAATGGGAAGGTTAGAGAGCTTAAGGAACTTAGACATTGCACATGGTTATACACATAAAAAATGAAATTTCGGTTCACTTCTAAGGATCTTGAGATGAAATTCTATTATAAATGAGATGTTGAAGATCATGTAAGTGGACTAGCCTGTTGATGCATGAGGGCTGGGAATTGAATATTGTTTTGAGATGTCATTGTATACGTACTTGTTGTAGTCTTCTTAATAGAGTTTTTCCCCAAAGTCATATGTTTCAATGTACACTAGACTGAGCCTTGTTGCTTAATGTTTGTGGATATCATTTCTGGTAAACCCTCACGAGACTTCACTCATCCTCTAGGGATACCTAGGGGTTTAAAAGGCTTTTTGTATATGTTAAATGCAATCGTCACTCCCACGAAAGAGGAGAAGTCTGTGTTTCAATTTTGTTTTGCTAAGGGACTAGCAAAATGTAAGTTTGGGGGTCTAATAAGCGTCAAATATTGCATATTTAAGCGCCCTTAATTGCATTAGTTAAGCCCACTATTTGCTCTGTTTATATAGATTAACTCCATTTTTATGTTTTTGTATTTATGCAGATCTAATTGCGAAAAAGGAATAAAAATAAGGTTTTAAAGGATTTTGAAGCACAAGTCAATTCAAGCTTACATATTAAGTAATCATTAAAAGGAGATGACAGGAAGAGGCGAAGAATGCAATCGAAGCTAAAGAAAGGATTTTGTGCCAGAGTAGCATACCTGGCGTTCCGGCGTAAGAACTAGCGTCCGGACGCCACCTTCCATAAACTCGTGTCCGGATGCAGGCTTTGGCATCCAGACGTCACATCATCAGGGCCTCGCGTCCGAACGCGAGACCACGGGTCCCTATGTATTTTAATCTGATTTTGTCTATCTTAAATGGGGGATTCAAATTTTAAACGGGATTTTGTATTTTTGAACTCACGAGAGGATAAAGAGGGGGAAAGGCTGAAGGAGTCTAGGTCTTGTTTTTGGTTTGAAAAAAGATACAGAGAGATAGAGGGAGATTTTTATGGTTCTTAGAGGAGGCTTACAACAATGGTAAGAGAAGGGATTCTATTCTTTTCTTCAATCCTGGAGGTTGTAGCCATATTCATGAGAGGCTAAATCCATTTTCTAGGGAGTTGATGTAACCTAGACCAAGTAAACATGGTTTGATTTGTATTTCAATTTGGGTATTTTTATTGTATATATTTAGTTTCATAATTGGCATGAAGTTGAGCATTTATATAGGTTATACCTAAGAAAGATGGACCATGCTACACCCTTAGATTAATGTAGTTAAGTAGATGGTCCATACCAACTGAAGATAATCTACGATATTTAATTGATTTCATGTATTGGAATATACTATTGAAGGACCTTGATAGGCCATGCCTAAGGAAGATGGTTCATACCACAATCTAGTTTAGGTTGATGAACCATGCTAACCAAATATGGGTTATGCTTAGTCCTGAATGTATGATCTTCTTGACGATGTTGTGGTAGTTTTATGCTCATACACATCATTATATATATATAATTATCAATCCCCTAGTTGAGTGTAAGTTTAACATGTTTATGTGGTTGAGGCGAAGTTAATTCCCTAACCTTCTCTTTACAAGTTCAATCCATCCTATTCACATTATTTACTATTTTTTGAAAGTTAAATTCATAGGTTAATTGACAAACCAATCGATTTATCATTTCTTTTAACAAATGGAGGAAGTAGTTGTATAATTTTGTTTGCCATAAACTAGCAATCCTTGTGGTTCGACAACCCCTAACTTTAGCATTAATTTGCAATAATGAATGTTTTATTGTTATAAGTGGTATTCTTAAGTGGTACACATTTGTGCGCATCATATAACATGACATAACTCACAGGTAGCCCTTGTTACTATACAACACGACTCACTAATAACATATGACAAGACGCATATATGATAATGCGACATGACCCCCAAATAACTATTCAAGAAGACTGATAAACTACCATGCAACACTACTCACAGACAACCCTATAACACAATATCACTCACAGGTGTCCCCTGCTACTATATGACATGACTCACATGTGTCCCCCGTTACAACACGACATGACTCACTGGTAACCCCCGTTACAAAACACACAGGTGTCCCCCATTACAGAACTCATAGGTATCCCTTGTTACACAGTCATAGGTAACCCTTGTTACATCAAAGTCACAGGTCGCCCCCATTACATTATAATCAATCATAGTAATATTTCATTTCCTCTATGGACAATCCCTCTTCATATGGCCTGGCCGACCACACCGAAAATAAGCTCTAGAACTAGGTTAATCAAGAGGACACTCCGTATTGTGGTGTCCCATTTGTCTACAATGATAATATACCATACTCGCCCTAGAAAACCTTGAAGAAGCACCAATAATAGGAGTAGCACCTGCCATTTGCTACTCCTGAGAAAACAATGAAGCCACTCTGTGCTTCTTCTTGTCTTGGCTCCAGGAAGAAGTACCCACGCTCGTCCCTCGTTCCTAAGAACCCATAATACCACTCATTTCTTACCAATCTTTGGCTTATGCATCTACCATCAATGCTTTCGAAACCGCTTTTGAATAATTCTTTAATCACAAAAGTGTCACCCTCGGCCTAATAGAATGATTTTGGCCGTACACAAAATGTCATGTCTTTACTTCCTCGTTCCCTAACACCTCCGTAGAGAAACGTGAAAGAGAAGTGAACTTATTCTCATACTCTGTCACTGACATGTCACCTTGTTCAAGTTCGTCAAACTGCATCCTCAATTCCCATCTCTTAGTCTGCGGGAAATACTTATCAAAGAAAAGACCTTTGAATGCATCCCAACTCATACTGTCAATATCATGCGCGCTAGTCATGGTCTTCCACCATACTTCCATGTGGCTAACAAACTTATACGTGGCTAAGGTAATCTTCAACTGATCATTGGGCACTGTTATTGCCCTGAAATGCTTTTCAACTTCATCTAACCAATCGTCCACTACCAACGGGTCTAGACCTCCCTCAATGCTACTTTCATGAGTTTGTTCAACTGAAGCAGGTACCTAAAGCTCTAGTCCATATCTATCTCTTGTGGTTGAATAGCCAGTCGTGGTACCACTTGAGGAGTTGTGGTACTCGCTAGATTCTAAAAGGCTGAGGCTACAACCCTCGCTAATAGAACATCATCCTTCGGTACTTGTGGATTATTATCCACTTCTCTAACTCGGCTGTATCCCAGTAAAACCCTATCCGACTTGGATGGCCCTTCACCTCTTTGCTCCCCAACTTCATCTGGATCCATCTCCCTACGTCGTCCTCAAACACGGTTCTACAAAAGCAACTACACAATCAATACAAGAATACATGAAATAGTTCAATCCACGAGCTATGGTGCTTACACTATTCATTTGATAAGAACTAAGACATTTATAAATGTAGGAATGAACAAGCCCGCCACATACGTGGGTCAAAACCACTCGTAATCTAACATACAACACTGTCCTGAACACTCAAACCCATCAACAATGAAACCAACAAGCTATGCCTACATCCACTCTTTAGTGGATGAACGACCACAATGTAAACCCTAACATGCAACTACGTTCCAAAACGAAATCATATCTATCATGCCCAATTACCTATAATAAGAACTTGTATAACTTACTTTTAATAATACTAAACACTTAACAATTAAGCACGTGGTCAACTAAGCATGATTTCATCAATAGTAAATAATTAACAAGTAAACATAAAACAAATCAAACATGTTTTTTTTAAAACAAATTTAATTATTTCACTAATCATACAAACAATTTTCACGTAAGCATCTAGCAAATAGGCATGCTTTCACATTAATCAAATAACAACTTCATAACAATAAACATCTTATCATTTAGGATGCTGAAATTTAATCATCGTTTCAAAATTCGCATAACAACAAATCATGCCCTTTTTAACTAAACAAGAACTAACCACATAACCATGCAACACTGTCACACCTAACTGTAACTCCTCTAGGTCAACCCTACCCGCCGTCCTTAGGTTTTCTTACCTAAAGCTCTGATACCAATTTTGTAACGACCCAAACCCGTGGGTCCGAACCGTTAACCGGGTCCTTACCCGAACCCGAGGTCACCTAAGTCAAATTCCATCATATCTAGGGTCAACACTTCATCATTAAGTCTTAAAAAAGCTTCAAGAAGGATTTAAATCAACTTTCTAAGGATTGGGGTTAAAATGAACCAAGGAAGGAACAAGGAGACGAAAATAGCTCTATTTCGGTCGATCGAAATGGGATTTTGGTCGGCCGAAATGGCCTCTGAGATTTCCCCTAAACCAGTCAACCTAAATTCCCTTTTCGGTCGGCCAAAATGCAAAGTCCTGAGGCTATGAAAAGAGTCGGTCGACCGAAGTACCATTTCGGTCGACCCAAATAGCTCTGCGAGCTATAGATCTGCTACTGGATTTCTGAAAAGATGAATTGATGAAGCTATTTTCCATTCACTTGAAATAAAAGGTTTATATACACAATATATGATCAAAAGAAATGATTTACAGGTGTTAAACTATCATTATAACAAGTTTACAATTTTTGAAGCAAAATCAAGGTTTTACAAAGGTTCAAAATATACAACTTTGGCAAACAATGCCTAAACTTTACAAATGGAGCTTTGTTCCTAATTACATGCAAAAGGTAATAAACAAAAGTCCCAAATCCCTCTTAGAGCTGTGGTGGATTGTCATCCGCCATACCTTTTCCTGAATCTGAAAAATGTTAAATAATGGGGTGAGCTAAAAGCTTAGTAGGAGGTGCCTAAGGCACACCTCTTGAGACCCCATGAATCCAAACAATGAAGAGAACAAAGTAATTAAGGTTATGCTTTACCGAGGATAAAATAACCACAATAGCAATATCAATAACCCAAGTCAAGAATGAATATGCCATGAAATGGGATGCAATGTCATGCAATGTCACTCCCCATTTTCAAAACCATTTCTCAAAATCCCCATTTCATTTCTTTTAAAGCCATTTTTCCCTTTTCTTCCCAATGAGTGCATGAGTGTTTTATACATTTAAATGCCATGCCAATAAGAAATCTTATTATATGTAAATCAACTATTCACAATATACATGCTTTGTAGAAATCTCTAAAAGTCTACCTAATGCTTCTAAATCACAAATTTCAGCTCACACAAACTTTCTCACACAATATAAACTAATACACATAATCATACACTTTATATTTAATAATTTAGTCACTTTAAGGTATATTAACACAATCAAAGCATGCTTGGTAACAATTTATACAAAACAACTCACAAAAATCAAAGAAATTTTGAATTAAACACCCCTATCTCACAAAGATGTAAAAAGCCCCAATTTCAAGCCCTAGGCTCAAAATCCCTAGGGTGCACCAAATGATGAATAACTTATATCAATGCGTAGATCACGTCAAGCTCTTCGTTTTGCCGCAAACGGCACCAAAAATCTCCAAACAGTTGAGAAGTAATCAAGGTTTGAAGCTTGTAAAAGAAGAAAAGAAAAGAAAAGAGAAAGGAGGAAGACAGAGCCAGGAGAGAAGAAGAAAAATGAGGCTATAATGGCCTCTTGGCCATTAATTTACTTTAGTGGTGGGTCCCACCAAAAATCTTTTAGACTTTTCTTTTTCCTTTTATTCATTTACCACCACACACATATATGCACACACACTATACCACATCCACCTAAAACAGAATAAATAAAAATAAATGAGATGCAAATGGACCCAACCAAAACCCCCGTATGCAACAATTCGGGTAGCGGGTCCCACCCGGAACCGTCCGGTATGAAAAACGAAAAAATACCGAAATGGTAGCTGATGCATTTCCAAGAGTCTTGAACTCAAATGGAATGCCCCAACCAACTCTTGGACACACCTGCTACACCCCACGGTGTCCGGCATGCAAAACGAGAAAAGACAAAAATGTCCTCGCAAAATCAGAAAATTCAAAAAAATGAAAAATGGTGAAAAACAGAAATATTACATAAATGAAGCAGAGAATGGTTAAAAAATGAGAATACAAGAAGCTTACCATTGTGGAAACAAAATCAGGACCTGAAAGAACCTCGGTCATAAGCCCTTACTTGGCTCTCAGGAGTGGATCACAAGTGTAACATATTAAGCAAATGGCATTTAAACAGATAATTTTCAAGAAAAAGCAAACATATCCTTGGACTCATGTCAAATTGCATTTTAAAATTCAAGTTATGCTCAAAAAGTGATACTAAGGCCAAAGAACAAAAATCTCATCCAAATCATGCATTTTACACTCCAAAAATCCATAACACACCCCCAAACTTAGTCAAAGATCAATTCCAAGAAGATAGATTTGAAATATGCACAAACTCTCCAAAACTGTCAATGTAACATAAGTGTGTGCAAAATGGTGTATATACAAGTAACAAGTTGCATTTTTTCCAAAATGCATACAATTATTCAAAGAGGAACACATTTAACAAGTTTCAAGGACAATAAGTAACAATGGAATCATATGACTTCAAAAAGTTGGGTTGGAATGGCAATTAATCTCATTTTACAAAAGAAGATCATAATCATGATAAGGAAGGCCAAAAGACATCAAACTTGTGCCCTAACTTAGCAAGAATCAAGAATTGCATCACAAACAAGTTCAAAGGCACTTAGCACATGCAAATGGATGGAAAGAATTGAAATGGAACAAGCTTCAACTCAAACAAGGGCATTTTGGTCAACTTTGGAATTACCAGACACTTTTGGGGCAAAATTAGAATTTTTGAAAACTTTAGAGTCAAAACATTCAATTGCATTGTATAAGAGCTTCATGACAAGAATCATGCAATGAATGAACAATAAAAGAAGGAATTCTACAACTCGACTTCTCATTTTCAAAACAAAGCTCAAAATTTTCCTTTTTAATCATTTGAAACCAACAAGTGTGATCACAAAGCATTTTATCATTGAAAGATCATTTTACCAAAACAAGACACTTGAATCTTGAGATTAAATCGATTGGAAATCAAAACTTTTCAAAGAGGTTAATTTGAAACACTTTTAAGCATTTAAGACAAGACTTGCATTTTCAAGTTCAAAAGCACAAAATTCAAGTCAAGTCATGCTTAAAAGCCATTAGGACAACTTAAAACACATCCATGCATTTCATATTTAAAACAAGCAAATGAAACAAGTCGGGATCATGCTCACAACAATCCAAAATTTTCAATGCCATTACAAGAAAATTTACAAGAATTTCAAGACAACAAGATTTTCTTTTTATTTCACATCTCGAGACAACAAGTTCACTTTGACATTCAACTATACATTTTAAATCTACAAACAAAATTTGCACATTCATGATATTTCCAAAGGCAAAAATTACACCTTTCAAAGTAATTTGAATTTTCAAAACAATTTTTAAGAACTTGAAGATTTTCTTTATTTTAATTCAAATCCACACTTCAAAACTCTTTGTCAATTTTCATTTCAAGTTTCAAAAACAAACCACATGCCTTTGGAATGAAACATCAAAGCTCAAATCTAATTTTTAGAAAATCTGGCATGGTTTCCCCTTAAAAAAGGTCATTTACAAAATTTCCAAACACAACAAACATTCATTTCAATCACAATCAACAATCAAGAATATATGGAATTCAAATTAAATGCATTCAATTAATCATTAAGGGACACCACCCACAATCACAAATCCAAGCAAAAATTTGCCCATTCTCCTTCTAACTACTACAAACCACACTTTATTCTCCATTTTTCAAAGTGCGCCTATCCCCATTCAACCAATATGCAAAATATTCATAGACTAAAGGTAATTGCACCAATTTTTAAACAACTTTTAATTTTAATTATTTTATTTTATTTTAATTTTGATTTTTCAATTTTTATTTGCTTTCCAAATATTTTTTATATTCACAAGCATATAAACAAATGACAATAAAAAGGGAAAATACAAAATAAAATGAAAACAAAACAAAACAAATAAAATGAAAACAAAACAAAACAAATAAAATAAAAATAAAATAAATAAAAAGAAAATGATTTGGAACATACTCGATCCAAAAGAGAGGAGATGAGATTGAAACGAAGAGATTCGGGCAAAAATGAGGAGTTTCGGCCTCACCATGGCTAGAGAAGATGACCGGACACTCGCCGGAGTCTCGCCAGAATTTTCAGAAACTCATCGGAGGTTGGAACAAACTCTCCTTGGCCTAAATTGGTAGGAGATAATGCATAGAAGAGAACCTGAGAGAAAATAGAGAGGTTGGATAATGGA